ATAAATTTGAAATGCGATACTTTTCGTTCAGTGAACAATACACTGAATGGTTTAGGCATTACAATTCTGATTGCAATAATTGATAATGTCGACTTGTCTGTTTACTGTTTTCTTGTAAATTCTCTGTAAAATATTCCCTTTTTCCACATAATTTAATCAGTAGCGATTGTTTTTTTCTGATCTTCACGTATCGAAGTTGATGATTCCCGAAACTCATCGTTTTTAGAACAGTTTCATTGATAGAACTCATTAGTCAAGTATTATTATTCGTGAGTTCTTGAATGAAGTTCTATTCATGGCTTTTGAAAATGTCAAATGTTGAATGGGTTGGTTTCTCAAAATGGCACTTTTTTTTTAGAAATGAACTGTTATTTGTGGGCAATAATAGTAAATGTTGTGATTACGATACCGTTATCATTGGCATTGCCTCGTCGTCATCAGCTCGCCTTGCAACATCCTGAAGTATCAGAATTGCGTGAAGAAGAACATCGTCATCTCGATCCTCTATCACCCGAAGACGCAAAGGTTATTTTTTAATAATTTCATGCTGATTAGTTTTTATACAATCTGCTGGAGCTGTTACTTTTAACAATGTCATTTCAATGCGCGTATCCATCAAATGCGGAGAATTGCATTCTTGCAGAATTACCTTCAAAAATATGGTCATATCGCTCCGAGCAATGTGCTTGGAGCGAATGTGCTTGGTCGCTCCCGAGCAGAAAATCGTGAAGACCTCAGAGAGGTTCTCCGCAAAGGAATAATGTGCGTTCGTTGCCGCTTTATTTTCTACTGACACATTCATAGAAAACTAAAACGGTACTAAAATCTAAAAACAAAATCCATCTCTGTAGTTTCTCCCAGAATTTAGGCATAGAGCAGTGTTTCACGCGTTTCTTCGCAGTTTCATGCGTATGAGTAACATCGCATACTGCATCCAGATCAAATGCTTCTATAATCTTATTTCTTGTTGACAACTCAAACGGTACAATTAGTAGGATTTATCGTGGCTTTACATGAGTAAAAGTGTCAGCCAGTCCACGTATAACACTTTGAAAATTATTGCACAACGTTTTCCGTCAATTTTTCAATGGAATTCTCACACTAGTTTAGTTCACGATATGTTTTGTTAAGGAGTTTTCAAAGTTTCGCTGGCTTGCCACAGACTGGTGAAATTGATGAGGAAACGGCTACGAAAATGACTTATCCGAGATGTGGTGTGGCTGATGTTTTATCGTTTAGAGTCGCTGGTCAGTATTTAACACTTCAACAAGTGAATGTCGAGTTGATCATCGATCTACAGATCAATATTGAACAAACAGAAAATGAACACTTCTCACTCATAAAATGAATGCAATTTGATGCTTGTTTATCCCGAAATGCATAAATGTAGTCATAAGTGATGTAACTTTTTAACTCGAAAATTTCCAGCGAATTGTCTACTTTCAGGATCATATCAATGGCCGAAACATGCTCTCACCTATTCATTTCTATCATTCACACCAGATTTACCACAACAAAAAATAAAGTCTGTTTGCCAGTTTTAAATTCATCATTAGGGAACAACTGTTTTAAGAGAAGATTAATTGTTTGAAATGAAACGAGAATATGTCTTAATCAAATGCTTTTTTTTGTGATGAATCAATTGTTTCGTTTTGATTTTCAACGAAATGGGTGATGATTCCACAATAATGCAAAAATTTGTCAGATAATTTTTGCAAGAGATGAATTTGACGAATCAATTTCACAATTCATAGAGATATTGGTACACCACTCGCTTTCGAGCAAAACTTTCCTCCGCGAACGGGAATCGAACCCGCGACGTACCAATTACCGGTCGGGGCTCTACCTGTGAGCTACCGCGGAGACCGTTCAGTCTCTGCCGAGTGGTTGTGTTAAGATCACGGGTTCGATTCCCGTTCGCGGAGGAAAGTTTTGCTCGAAACCGAGTGGT